AAGGAGTATATTATTTTCATCAACCTATTCCAATACCATCGTACTTGGTTGCATTGGCATCGGGTGATTTGGCATCTGCTCCAATAGGACCAAGATCAACAGTTTATTCCGAAAAGGTGGGATTAAATGATTGTCAATGGGAATTTGAAAAGGATATGGAGAATTTCATTCAAGTAGCTGAAGGATTAATATTCAAGTACGAATGGTTGAAGTTTGATGCATTAGTCCTACCACTGAGCTTCCCATATGGAGGAATGGAAAACCCAAACATTACATTTGCTACTCCTACATTAATAAGCAAAGATAGATCACAAGTTAAGGTTATGGCGCATGAATTGGCTCATTCTTGGCTGGGTAATTTGGTTACAAATTGTTCATGGGAACATTTTTGGCTAAACGAAGGATGGACAGTTTATTTAGAAAGAAGAATAATTGGGGGAGTAGCAGCTGCTGAAGCTAAATCCTTAGGTGAAAATGAAGCAGTCGAATATGGAGAAAAAAGGAGACACTTTGCTGCTATTGTTGGTTGGAATTCGTTAGTTGATTCTGTTAAAACTTTAGAACCAAAGTATACATCAATAGTTTGGAATCTTAAAGATGGATCAGATCCAGACGATGCATTTTCCCGTATTCCTTACGAAAAAGGCTTCAATTTCCTATTTTACATTGAGCAACAAGTCGGGGGTACCAAAGAGTTTGATCCATTCATCCCATACTACTTCAAAAAATTCCGTTATGAATCATTAGATACCTATCAATTCATAGATACGTTATATGAATTCTTTGAACCTCGTGGAAAAGCGGAAAAGCTAGATGCAATTGATTGGAAAGGTTGGATATTTGGTGAAGGATTACCACCTAACATCCCACGATTTGATACCAGTTTAGCGGATGAATGTTATAGATTAGTAGAAAAATGGACTGATTTTGCCAAGTCTAATTCAACAGATCTTTCTGAATTTGATGAATCTAGAGATATTGGGAATTTTGAACCAGATCAACATAAACTTTTCCTTGGATCCTTAACAGAAAGATTTGAAAAATACCCTCTTCCACTGCAAATTATTAAGAAATTACCATCAGTTTACCCTGTATATGCGGCTAGCACTAATGGTGAAATTAAATCTAGCTGGAATGAATTGCTTATTAGATTTGGAAACTATAGTACTACAGATCAAATAGTCAAGGATTTTGCAAAGTGGTTAGGAACAGTTGGTAGAATGAAGTTTGTGAGACCTGGTTACAAATTATTGCAAAGCTATGTTGACAAAGAATTTGCCATTGCCACATTCACCAAATATGAAAGCAGCTATCACCCCATTTGTAAGACCATGGTCAAGAAGGATTTGGGCCTAATTTAGGAAAATCGACGTTTACCCCCTACACAGTTCTCGATTACAAATAAAACAATTTCTTCATTAAGTATAAGTTACATCTACATAGTTATGAATAGCATATAATATTACATGAGTCCTGCCTTGAGACACAGTAGTCTCTTCTCAAAGAAGCATGACATGTCTAGATATTAACTTCTTTTTTGAATGCATCTAATCTTCTTTGGTGATCTTGAATGAACTTTATGACCTTCTTTCTATTATCTCTCAAAATATCATTTCCAGCAACGTCAATTCCATCCAATTTCATCAACTGCTTCAACAACATTTCTTCGAAATAGTTGTACTTGTATTCCAAATCATCAGCATTTAATGTCTTGTAATTCTCCAAGTATTCGTCAATCTCTGGAACATAAGTCTCTTCAACAAAGTCTAAAATGGATTGTATATCCTCGTTGGCCTTTTGTGCCTTAGTCAACCTCTTCTTAGAACGCTTCTTTTGGTTCTTCTTACTGGATTTACTCGTGCCTTGCTGTCCACTTGAACCCAAAATACGCCCCAAAATAAATAACGTGGTGAAAGCAGTTATCGACAAAGATACTGTGATAGGTGTAACCTTGAAATTGCTAAAATCACTTACTATATCGTCAGTGGAAACATTCTTCAATGCATTGACATAATGTTCAATATCATCATAGCTGGTAGGAATCTTTTCCTTCAACTGGATAAGACATGATTGTACCTCTTGAAATTTGCTTGGGAGTTGAGATCTCAACTGGTTAAAATGTTCGGTAACTGCTTCCATACTCAATGTTCTTGTATAAGTGTAGTATAAGATTAAGAAGAACTTCAGTCCTTTATTGCTAAAATGCTTATTGTCAGAGTGGACAAGTTGAAATTTACGGCATGCTGAAATTACACAAAATTGAATAATGGATTATGCTTATACAGCCGATCTATTTAAATAAATAATTCTCCACTAAAGTTACGGCTTGGTTTAAGATTATCCAATGCTTTCTGTTTTGAAGCCTTGTTTATTGGGGGAGGAATTTTTTTCTGCTTAAAGTCGTTTATTTGGGTCGAACTTTTATCTGTATTTGCAGTTACATCTGCACTGCCAGTGTTTTCAACCGTAGATGGGTTATTAGCCATTTTCTTAGGTAGCCTTCTCTTTGGACCTTTTGAGCGGCCCTTGTTAGGGTGTGTAAGCTTAGATTGAGTCACATTGGTAGTTTCATCACGCAAGGGTAGCGTATTGGCCCTGGGGATATTTGATGCGGGCTTTGATGCACGAACATTCGGTACAGTGCTGGCTCGTATAATTGATGATAACTGATCTTGGAACGAAGCAGGAGTTTTAGGGGGTTTGTTTTCGTTCAAGTCGGAGGATGAGGGAGACTTTGTAGCCACAGGCCTTTCGGGAGAAGCTGCGCTTTTGAGGGATCTGTCAGAAGTTTTCATCCTTTCGATTGTCTTTGTCGGCTCGGGCATGGAGTTATATGAGGCGATTTTTGACAGAGATAGAGGAGCAGCTTTTACAGGCTTCAATTTGGCCAATGCTGCCAAACCCTCAGGGTTTGTGTCTGTAGAATCACGAATAATGGATGGGTTAGATTTTTTGCCTAGTTTCTTCATTTGCGAAATAAGAATAGCATTATCCTCTTCCTGGTATTTCTTAGGAGATGGTTTCGACGGCTTTGGAGGAGCATTTTTGCCGTGAGAAAGCTTCTGCATTTGGGCCTTCAAGATTTCCGTATCCTGCTCTTCATATTTCGAAATTGATGGTTTGGCTGGCTTTGGTGGTGCAGCCCTATTCGTCGATGATGATAACTTTTGCATTTGAGATTTCAAAAGTTCATTCTCCGTTCGAGTATACTTTTCGAGGGATGGTTTAGGGGGCTTTGGAGGTGTTTTAAAGTCAGATCTGCGAGGTTCGGGTGATTTACTTGTAGCGAACAGAGAAGGCTCTAATGGTTTGGCATTTTTAATAGACCAATCCTTTTGGCTATTAGTTGTCTTTACCAGCGACTCCAATGTATCGCTCTTTTTTATAGCACTGTCAAGCCACGAATTCTGCTTCTTCTCCCGTTGAGGAGAAGTCGGTTTGATTATAGATACATCGCTTGGATCATTATGATCTGGAATAAATCTCTGTTTTGCACCTGATGAAGCTGATTGTAACAGACGTGAATCTGAGTTGTGCTTTGTTGCCGATAACGCACTGAGGTATGTAGGTTTCGGCACTATATTCGGTGTTCTTTCGACCTTGCCTTCAACGGTTAGCTTTGTAGAAAGCTTGTCCGATTTTATAGGTTTAATAGGCTTAGAAGTAGGATTAGTTTTTGAATTCACGGAAAAAATATCTTCCACCATATCTTTTGTATTTCCTCCTAAATCAGACCCCTTTTTAATGTCATTTTCTAATTCAGTAAACGATCTATATTTGTTACCCTCGTTTGAAGGAGACTTCAGCTTATACGGTGGTTCTTTGAAATCCTTCTTCAACCGCAGCTCTGGTTTAACTTTTATTGGAACCGGATTTATTAATTCTATGTCAAATTTGGATGACATTCCAGAAGGTTTTGAAGGTTTAGTGGGGCCTGGTCTCTTTACGTCTCTGCGAGGAGGCATAGGAGGGGGTGATTCTTCGTCTTCATTGGCCGGTCTTCTTGGCATTGGAGGTGGTGTCTCAATTAGTCTCGAACTCCTGTACTGTCTTCCGACACTACTTGGTCTCAGAGGCATTTCAGGAGGTGCATCTTCTTCAAGATTCTTTATACTTGTTGAAAAATGATCAATATTCAGTCTACCACTCCTATTGAACTTCAACAGAGGAATATCACCGTGTCCTCGTGTTGAACTATACGAAAACAGCGGCTGATACGATGAACCTTTAATAGGAGAAGAACTGTTCAGTCTCAGTCTCAAATCATCAATATTTCTTTGCAAGTCTCTCTGTCTTTTCTGGTCCTCCCTCAATCTTTCTTGAGATAATTCGGATATACTGGACAAAAAATCGTCCACTTTCTTTGAAGAAGGAGAAACTTCAGTCATAGCTGCTTAACCTCTGAATCACTAGTTACTATGATCTAATTCTGATCAAATATCGATAGGATTCTGTTTGTAAACAATAAACCTGTAAACCGAGTAAATAAATTTACATG